AGAGATTACTTTTTCAGAATTGGAAGAAAATTAAAAAAAAATTAAATTAATTTGTTGTTGCAAGTATACAGAGCAAAACATCAATTTAGCAGTTTCTACATGTTGGAAGGCTCGCTTTTTTTTTTTCCAAAGACACTGATGTTGTTAGTTACCACTGAGTCAGTACCAACTCATAGCGGCCCACCCTATGCACAACAGAACAAAACACTGTCTGGTCCTGGGTCAACTTCACAATTGTTGAAAGACACGGATAGTACATGTGAACTATTGCAGGTTGGTGAAAATCTTTCAAGTTTTGAAATGGTGGACAGTATGCAGGCTGTGAAATATTTTCCTTTGCTCAGTGCAGCATCCAGATTGCACATTCAGAGAACATGCAGGCTCTCAATCAGGATTTACCTCAACAGGCCATTTCCCAGTGATAAATGACCCAAGGGAAAGACAAATGAAGCCCGACACCAGGCAAGCTGTTCCTTGAGAATATCTTTACTTTCCAGGTCGTGTTAGTGAGGCTTCCTGATGAGGGGAAACGGATTGTGTCCCAGGGAGAAAGAAAGCATGCAGGAGTGAGTGTTGCTGAGAGGCCTGTGGGTGAGGTGGTTTAAAGAAAAGTCCATAAAAGGTGGTTGGAGAATGTGAAATTTTTATGCAGGAAATCTTTGTAGCTAATTAGAGGAAGAATATGGATTCAGTTTAGAAGGCATATCTGAAACACTTGCTACTCTCTTTTACTATTCATGGAATTCACATGATTTAGAATATTGGTGGGCAGAAACCCTGGTGACAATGACTCTAATTAGAGTGTCTGTACCCGCACCTAGTGAACCATTTTCCTGGTTTTGCATCTCAAGTAGGAAGAAGAAGAATAAATTCTAATGATACCCTTCTAAGGCAACTAAACAGTGCAACAAATTGTTCTCAGTTTCTCAGCTGGCATTGTTAAGAAAATGATTTGTTCTTATCAAATTCTAGTTCCTAACAATTACAGGCTATTGTTGGATCTCAAAGGCCTTGTGTTCAGATACCTTTTTGGATGGATGTAGGGAAAATGTGGGAAAGGTTTCTTTGGTTTGCATGGAGCAAAGGTATAATTTTATTCCTCTCATTGAAATTCTTTTTTCCCCTTAAGATAATTATCGAGAATAATTTTCTTCTACCAAGGATCAACTTAAGGGTAATGGTGCAAACAGAGTTACAAAGAAATAGTGAGTGAAAAGTTCAGCATTATTATGAGTACTGTTAATGAGTAACCATTTAATCAGCTGGCTACTTTCAAACCCCAAAACATGACTCAGTGTTGTTGTTTTTTTAAAGTTTTTGTTGAGAATTGAGTGAAAGTTTACAGGGCAGATCATTCATTTTACATACAACAAATTATATACTTTGTTTCATTACAATGACTAAAATCCCCTTCATGTACCATCAGTTAACAGTATTTCTTTCTATTCATTTTAGCTCTTTTTTTTTAAACACTCAGGCATATATAATAATTTACACCACAGTTTACCCCACAAAAGGGCACAGTCTGCAAGTCTGCCTCCTCGCCACCAGCTCACAGTCCCTCTCTTTCCATGAATCTAGAGTCCTCAGCTACTCCATCTTTTTTGCTATTGTGAATAGTGCTGCTATGAATATTGGTGTGCGTATATCTATTCGTGTTATGATTCATATATGACTCAGTTTTGAACTGGTCAGTCTGGGTCATGGAATTTCTCTGAAGTGAACACTGATAACCCATTCCTCGCTATCCCCTCCCTACACACACACACACACACACACACACACTTTCTCTCTCTTACCTCAGGCTGAGCTCATATTAATCCAGATCTGTTAGATTACTAATTCCAGATGTCCTTTCTTTTCTTAATTTAAGACCTGAGATTGTGGGATGATGTTTGCTGGAATCTGATTGGATTTAGTTACAGAGCAGCAGGACTGTGAGTGAATGGTACAATTTACCTCAACTTTAAATTCTTTTCAACATCAGACGTTTTTACTCTGAGTAACTATATTCAAGTATTGCATGCTCTTTGCACCTGTTTCTTCCCCTACCTTTTCCTTCACTTGTTGGTGTCCCATGCCCTCCAGTGATGGGCCTTGTATCAGTATAGTTCCATCCCAGCCATAATGGTGGTGCTTACTGTCTTTCCTGGAAACAATGAGGATCCAGTCTATCAGGAGAGCTGGAGTGCTTGCCCCATGTGACAGGGGGTTGAAAAGAGATGGTACCAACTCATAGCAACCCTATGAACAACAGAATGAAACACTGCCCGGTCCTGGGCCAACCTCACAATTGTTGCCACACTTGAGCCCATCCATCTTGTTGGGGGTCTTCCTCTTTTTCTCTG